CCCCGAACGGCCTCAGAGAGCCCAAGATGACCCCCAAGATGGCTCAACTAGCCCAAGCTGGGTCAAGATGGCTCCCAAGATGCTCCAAACGGCCTCAAGACCGCTCCAAGAGCGCTTCAAGAGAGCCCAAAGAAGCGGGTTGCCGGCTCCTGAGGGGACAGCTGAGTTGGGGACCCCCCAACCTGCAATCGATTGCCTCCAAGATGATCCCAACAAGCCTTCCAAGGTTCTCAAGGGGGTTCCGAGAGGGCCCCCCAAACTCCCAGAGAGCACCAGCAGCAGCAACAGTCGTAAGAATACCTCTAGGTGGTTCCATGAATCCTCGTCCGCGTCGTCCTCATCCTAGTCCTCGTCCTCATCGTCCTCGTCCTCATCCGCGTCCCCGTCCTCATCGTACTCCTTGTCCTCCTCCTCCTCCTCCCCCTCCTCCTCCCCCTCCTCCTCCCCCTCCTCCTCCTCCTCTTCCTCCTCCTCCTCCTCCTCCTCCCCTCGCCTCCACGCGGCACCCAGGGATGGCCCGAAGAGGGCTTCCAAAGCCACCCCCTTGCTCAGTTTGTTTCCCTGGATGTGTCTCTTCGTCCCTTTTTTCCCGTCAGCTCTGGATACCAGGGTTTCTGAATTGGCTGGTGGGGATACTTTTTCCCCACATCCTGAGTGGGGTTCTTGTTTTCCCAGAACACCCTCTCCTTCCCACCCACCTCCCGCTCCATCTTCCATACAGCACAATATTATTCCTACCACACACACCATACCATACCATAGTTCCTACCACACACCATACCATACCATACCATACCATACCACACCATACGTACCATACCGTACCATACCATACCATGGCGTACCATAGCATACCATACCATATCACACCAATGCCACACCGTACCATACCATACCATACCTCCAGTACCATACCATACCATATCATACCATACCGTACCATACCATACCTACCATACCATTCCATACCACTCCATACCGAAAACCATACTACTTACATGGTTTCGTGCCCCTCCCACCCCTCCAGGGAGGCCCCGCCTGAGCGAGGAGGGTATCGGCAAACCATACTATTTACATGGTTTCGTGCCCCTCCCACCCCTCCAGGGAGGCCCCGCCTGAGCGAGGAGGGTATCGGAAACCATACTATTTACATGGTTTCGTGCCCCTCCCACCCCTCCAGGGAGGCCCCGCCTGAGCGAGGAGGGTATCGGAAACCATAACACGTGCCCCTCCCACCCTCCAGGAGGCCCCGCCTGAGCGAGGAGGGTATCGGAAACCATACTATTTACATGGTTTCGTGCCCCTCCCACCCCTCCAGCCTCGAGGCCCAGCCTGGGAGGCCCCGCCTGAGCGAGGAGGGTATCGGAAACCATACTATTTACATGGTTTCGTGCCCCTCCCACCCCTCCAGGGAGGCCCCGCCTGAGCGAGGAGGGTATCGGAAACCATACTATTTACATGGTTTCGTGCCCCTCCCACCCCTCCAGGGAGGCCCCGCCTGAGCGAGGAGGGTATCGGAAACCATACTATTTACATGGTTTCGTGCCCCTCCCACCCCTCCAGGGAGGCCCCGCCTGAGCGAGGAGGGTATCGGAAACCATACTATTTACATGGTTTCGTGCCCCTCCCACCCCTCCAGGGAGGCCCCGCCTGAGCGAGGAGGGTATCGGCAAACCATACTATTTACATGGTTTCGTGCCCCTCCCACCCCTCCAGGGAGGCCCCGCCTGAGCGAGGAGGGTATCGGCAAACCATACTATTTACATGGTTTCGTGCCCCTCCCACCCCTCCAGGGAGGCCCCGCCTGAGCGAGGAGGGTATCGGAATACCATACTATTTACATGGTTTCGTGCCCCTCCCACCCCTCCAGGGAGGCCCCGCCTGAGCGAGGAGGGTATCGGCAAACCATACTATTTACATGGTTTCGTGCCCCTCCCACCCCTCCAGGGAGGCCCCGCCTGAGCGAGGAGGGTATCGGCAAACCATACTATTTACATGGTTTCGTGCCCCTCCCACACCTCCAGGGAGGCCCCGCCTGAGCGAGGAGGGTATCGGCAAACCATACTATTTACATGGTTTCGTGCCCCTCCCACACCTCCAGGGAGGCCCCGCCTGAGCGAGGAGGGTATCGGCAAACCATACTATTTACATGGTTTCGTGCCCCTCCCACACCTCCAGGGAGGCCCCGCCTGAGCGAGGAGGGTATCGGCAAACCATACTATTTACATGGTTTCGTGCCCCTCCCACACCTCCAGGGAGGCCCCGCCTGAGCGAGGAGGGTATCGGCAAACCATACTATTTACATGGTTTCGTGCCCCTCCCACACCTCCAGGGAGGCCCCGCCTGAGCGAGGAGGGTATCGGCAAACCATACTATTTACATGGTTTCGTGCCCCTCCCACACCTCCAGGGAGGCCCCGCCTGAGCGAGGAGGGCATCAAGAAAATGGGTCCCACGAAACCGTTAATCTCTTTATGTGGGGAACTCCGTTCGCATATTATTTTTTTACGGCCGCAGGCGGAAGCGCCAGCGGCGGGCGGTCACGGTCGGGCTGCGGCCGCGACGAAGGCTGGTGGGGATACGTGAAACGTGAAGAATAGACATTTCCCAGAGGGAATGGGACGATGTTTCCTTCTTCGGGGCTCTCTTAACGGCCTCTTGGGGCGTCTTGGGGGCCTTTGGGGCCGTGTTCAGACCATCGATGTTCCTCTTGGAGCGCTGTTGTGCTGTCTTGAGTCTCTCTTGTGCCCTCCGATGACACCTCTGATCGCCTTGAGTCTGCTCGCAAGGCCCGGCAAGGCGCCCTGGGAGGCCCGGAAGGGCCAGCGGACATTTTCCAAGGGAGTCCAGGGGGCCGCCGAGAGGTCCGAAAGGGCGCCCGGGGCATCCCTGGCGGGGGAGGTCCAGTTTAGGGGGTGGGGGGTCGAGGGGGGGTCGGGTAATACAAATTGAAGAATAGGAGAGATTTCTGGGCGCTCGCGTCGCCCCTCTGAGGGGCCAGCGAGGCGTTGGCTGGCTGGCGTTGTGAACTGCTGGCGAAAATCAATGCGAAGGTAAATTGAGAAAGCGCGTTTCACGGCGCTCGCCTTGGGAACATTCGACGGCGCGTTTCGAGCCGGGGGGGGGGGGGCCCAACATTCGGCGCCGTCGATCAAAACCAGGGGGGCTCCCCTCCCCCCAAACCCGCCCCCCTCCCGAACCCCCCCCCTCCTCGGCGCCAGCGCCAGCGCCGGCGCTGGCGGCCGCCAGCAGCGCCGACAGCGGGGACGCAACCACAATGACCACAGGCAGCCCAAAAGGGGGGGGGTTAACCCCCCCCCCCTAGCGCCGGCGCCGGGCGCCGGCGCCAGCGACGGCGGGGACGCAGCGACGATGACCACCACTACCACCACCACCACCACCACCGCACCAACCCACCACCACCACCACCACACCACCACCACCAACCCACCACACAACCACCACCACCACCACCAGCCACCACCACCACCACAAACCACCACCACCACCACAACTCACCATCACCACCACCACCACAAAAACCCACCACCACTACCCCACACCACCCACCACCACCACAAACCACACCACCACCACCACCGCCACAACCACCACCACCACTGCCAGCAGCAAACCCACCACCACCACAAACCACCACACCACCACCACCACCACCACCACCACCACCACCACCACCACCACCACCACCACCTCCGCAAACCACCACCACAACCCACCACTACCATCACCACCGCCACAAACGACGACCACACCGCCACCAAACCAAAACCACCACCACAACCTACCACCACCAGCACTACCACAAACCACCACCCCACCACCACCAAACCACCACCACCACCACCACCACCACCACCACCACCACCACCCACCACCGCCACCACCACCCACCACCACCACAACACACCACCACCACCACCACGACAACCGTCGTCCTCGCCGACGCTCCCCGCCGCCGCCGCCCGCCGCCGCAGGCGCCGGCGCTGGCCCAGAAAAGGAAATCGTCGTCGCCGCCGCCGCCGCCAGCCGCCGCCGATGCAGGCGCCGGCCCGAGGAGAGGGAGAGAGGAAAAGTGGGGGGCGGGCCCGTTCCAAACGCCCCCCCCTCCAAGCGACCACCGAACGCGCACTTTTGTATGTTTGGACCCTCCTCTATGGACGCCTTCGTTGGCCAGATATCCAAAAAAAGGAGTCCTCGGCCCCTTTCTCGGCGCACTGGCAGCACGTTTTGCCGTTGCACTGGTGCATTTGATGGGAGAGAGCCCCTGCAACCCCGACGATGGCTTCTGGAGACTCCTGCCGGTTTTCGTTGGTGTCCGATGGGATCCGGATGGCTCTGCGGATGTTCGCCGGTGTTCACGTGTATCCGCAAGTTCCCAACGGCTTGAGAAGGGGAAGGGGAGGGGTAGGGAGAAGAGAAGGAGACTCGCGGAGGCAAGTGGGAGAATGGGGGAGAAGGCGAAAGCCAGGTGAAGGCGAAAGCCGACTTTGGGGCTCCCAAGTCCCCAACTGAACGTGGCAAAAAGGTGACGACTTGTCATCGTGTGCTTTGATCCTTGGGGTGCCCAGTCTGTAGAGGGTAGGGAGAAGAGAGGGAGACTCGCGGAGGCAAGTGGGAGAAGGGGGGAGAAAGGCCTGGGCGAGAGGTGGGAGGGGACAAGGGCAGAAGAAGGATAGAGGACGGAGGAGGGGCCGCGAAGGAGAAGAGTTTTGCAGATTCCCTCGGTGGGGCTCCTCTTCGCACTCTCTACCGCCTCGGAAGCGAAGTCCACAAGAGTGTCGGTGTCAATCAGAGGGGAGATCTCCTGATAGAACATGGAGACGTTCTTGAGAACGACGACCACCGAGACGAATGCTCCAACAAGCATCACCCACCATTGCCATAACGCCCCTTTCTCTTGCAGTAACCATAGAAAAATACCTCCGAGAAAATATATACCATTCGCCGTGATGTCAACCGTGAATCTGCGGAGCCAGAGCCTCACGTCGTCTCTTGCCAGCGGCATCCTCCAGCAACAGTAGATTGGCCCGACAAACTCTCGCTTCCTGAGAGCAAAGCTTGCTTCTGGGGGCAGGAGGGAGAAGGGAGAGAGAGGGAGGATACCCGCAGGAGCAGGAGGAGGAGCTTCCTGAGAGCTTGTGGGCTCCACTGGGAGCGGTAGGACATGCGCATCGAGCCGTCGGGCTGGACGCGTGGGAAGACGATGCTGCCCAGAGCACTCGACACCTCCGTCTCGACGTGCAACGGGTTCTCCCCCGTGTGCGGCACGAGGGGAGGCCTACCGTCCTCCAAGTCACTAGCGTCGGCGACCTCCTCTGACTGAGAAGACTGAACTCTGAACTCCTCCTCCAAAACTCTGAACGCCTCCTTCTCCTGCTCCTCCTCCTCCTCCTCCTCCTCCTCCTCCTCCTCCTCCTCCTCCTCCTCCCTGTGCTCCTCCTCATCAGCATCCTCGACCTGCCCCGCCGTTCTCATCCAACTGCGCCTGCCCCTCAACCTCCTCCTCCTCTCCCTGCTTACCATCAGCGTCAGCCTCATCATGTTGAGCATCATCGCCACAATAGCTAGCAGTACCAGCATCACCAGCATCATCATATTCAACATCATCATCATAATCAGCAGATTCATCATCAGCATCCTCATCAGCATCATCATCATACTCATCATGATTAGCAGCATCAGCAGCATCAGGAGCATCATCATCAGCATCAGTATCATCAACGGCAGCAGCAGCAACACCATCGCCATCAGCAGTATCATCGGGTCATCGTCGTCACCCTCATCACCACGATCATCAAAATCAGCATCATCGGCATCATCATCAGCATCGTCGCCATCGTGACCATCATCATCGGCAGCATCACCGTCAGCATCATCATCATCAGCAACAGCATCGTCAACATGATCATCAGCATCGTCAGCATCTGCATCAGCATCAACATCAGCATCACCATCACCATGCTCTTCTTCATCCTCATCATCACCATCACTAACGTCACGTTCATCAGCATCAGCAGCAGCAGCAGCATCGGCACCATCGTCATCCACCAGTGCCTCTCCCTGACCATTTCCTCGCTGCTCGTTCGCACATTCCTCACCCTGCCCCTCAACATCCTGCTATGCACGTCTTCCCGAGGAAACCGAGGAAACAAAGGTCACCGCCACCATAGTCGCGAGGGGGGAGGATGACGAGGAGGTGGGAGCAGGATCATTCTCCTCGGTTTCTCCCTCGCCCTCCTCCTCCTCCTCAATCTCCTCCCTGCGGCTGCCCCTCAATCTTCTACTCATCCTTCACCTCCTCCCTATCCGACTGCTCGCCCTCCTCATCCTGCTCCCATCACCGCCATTATGCTCCTCATCCCTCTATACCTCCTCCTCATCATCATCCTCCGCCTCCTCTTCCTCCTCTCACACCTCCCCCCCTCTTCATCATGCCCCTGCTCCTCCTACCACTCTTCTGCACGCCCCCTTCTGCGGTGGCTTGAGGTGGGGGGTGCGGGGGGAACAGCCTTCTGCAAAGACTTCACGGCCCTGTCTCCGGTTCGTTGAAGTCCGCCAGGAGAGCCACCTGCTCGGCACCGACAGCCCCAAGGAGGGCCAAGTGCCCTGCACCCACTGAGCCAAGTACTGCCACTTGTTCTGCGCCCGCGGCGCCGTATTCTGCCAGTTGGCCTGCTCCCGCGGCACCATATATTGCCACTTGCTCTGCACCCGCGGCGCCATATTCTGCCAGTTGACCTGCTCCCGCGGCACCATATATTGCCACTTGCTCTGCACCCACGGCGCCATACTCTGCCAGTGTCTCTGCACCAGCGGCGCCATATATTGCCACTTGCTCTGCACCCACGGCGCCATACTCTGCCAGTGTTTCTGCACCAGCAGCGCCATATATTGCAACTTGCTCTGCCCCCGCGGCCCCATACTCTGCCAGTGTCCCTGCACCAGCGGAGCCATATATTGCAACTTGCTCTGCCCCCGCGGCCCCATACTCTGCCAGGGTCCCTGCACCCGCGGCACCAGCAGCGAACTCGGGTAACAGCACAACAAGCAACTACCCGAGCGATCTTCACCCGCCAATTCGGGGCAGCACGATGTTTTTGTTGGCCGGCTCTGGTAACCCTGGGCACACTGGCGCTGATTTCTCTTTCACGAGTGCACGTTCGCTTCCGCCAACCAATCTGTCCCCGCTGTCCATTTGACGGTTTCCGCCGATCTTCAGTTAAGCTTCCGCGTGCTTCTGTTGAAGGTGTAAGATCAATCCTTCGAGCCATCGACGACGAGGTTACCGAGAACGCCATGAATTCGATACGAGTACAGGGAACGACCAACGACAACCTGGAATAACTTACGCACGCTGGGCGCCGCGGTATACATCTCTCTGGCGGACGCACACCGAGCGCGCCAGAGCCTCGCCAGGAATAGACCCGACCTCTGCTGCAGAAGGACAGGGTTAGAAACGACTATAAGCGAACCAAAAGCTCAGCCCCCCCAAACAGCAGCCCTGTAATAGAAAAACTCCTTAACGAACACCGTACATGGGGGAACAAAAAGGTGCTGATACCGCTACTCACTCGACCTCTCTAAGGGTACGTTCTGACCCAACTTTCGAAGCCAATCCAGCGGTGGCGGACAGCCCAGGGGGCCCAAAAAGGAGCAAACGAAGAAAGAATAGCGATATGGGTACCTCTCCTTCCTCTGAACCACCAGGCCCGATTCCCCAGTGGCCAGCGGTACACAACTCCAGCCGCCTCTGCAGGAGTGTTCGTCGTTCTCCGCCCTCCTTCGTCCTCATCGTCTTCCTCCTCCTCCTCCTCCTCCTCCTCCTCCTCCTCCTCTGACTCCTGCAGCGCGACAGGATCAGAGGGCTTTGCGGGAAGGATATTCATGGGGAGGGGAATGAGGGCGTTGATCCTTCTCCTTCCCCCTGGATCTCCGGATACCAAGAGGCCTCCCAAGGTGCCAGACGGCTTCCAGTGGTCCCAAGAAGTGTCCGTGCAGGCTTGCAGGCTCCACAGGTGTCCCAGGTCTCCAGAGGTCCCCGTAAGTGTACCAAGTATCCAGAGGTTCCCTGGAGAACTTTTGGAGGCTCCCTGAAGCAGAACGCATGAATAAAGTCAGAATGGATTTCAAAATATTCGGGTCACCACCATCATCATCATCATCATCATCATCATCATCATCATCATCATCAGCAGCAGCATCATCATCACCATCACCATCATCATCAGCATCATCATCATCATCAGCATCATCATCATTATCGTCAGCAGCATCATCATCATCATCAGCATCACGCATCATCAACAGCATCAGCATCTGCATCAGCATTATCATCATCAGCATCAGCATCAGCATGATTATCATCAGTATCAGCAGCAGCACGTTCATCAAGGTCATCACCACCACCAGCATCATCATCCGTAGCATCAGTATCACAACCACTACCACCATCGACATCGCCATCAACATCACCATCTTAATTATCATCATCAGCAGCATTAGCAACAGCATCATCAGCATCATCACCATTCGCATCATAATGTGCAACATCGTCACCAACGTCCGCGGTAGTATCATCACCGTCGTTGTTGCCATCCTCAGCATAACCATTCTGACCATAACGGTCAACAGCATCACCAACGTCCGCGTCATCATCATCACCATCATCAGCAGCATCGTCACACCCATCATCATCAGCAGCATCATCATGATCAGCATCATCATCACCATCATAAGCATCGTCATGGTCAATATCGTCATCATCATCAACAAGAAAACCACCACAAAACCACAAACATCCTCATCCGCATCCTCATCCTCCTCATCATCCCTATCATCCTCCTCCTCCTCCTCCTCGTTCTTCTCCTTCCCCTCCTCCTGAGCCTAACTGGCCTCCTACCTCCTACCTCCTAGCTCCTCCTGCTCCCGCTGTTCCTCCCCTTCCGCCTTTTCGTCCTCCTCCTCCTCTCCTCATCGGTGTTTCTTGGCAGTACCATCTCGTTCTCCTCCTCACCATCATCCTCATTACCAAGGCACACCACCAAACACTCAGTAATCTGAACCAGGAGCACGGATGGATGGCTGGTCGTGTTCATAGTGCGGTTCTCGTCATAGAATCGAGTACACTCGTTTGAAGTACATCCAGCAATGACGCTGAGTTGAGGGGAAGCGGAGATTCAACTTGCCGCTCTCGCTTTAGCGCCGTGCCTAATATGTTTGAAACTTCCATCTATTACGCGGACGAGGCAAGGCAAAGTCTAAATGCGGATCCCGCTTCGACGCCGCACGCGTTCGATTAACTGCTTGCTTCTCCCCTCCTCGCCCCCTTTCGCGGGGCAGTACAGCCTGCCCAAGACCATCGTGGCGGCGTGTAGGGCTTCAGCCCACTCTTGGCCCGAGGGACGCAGCAGCTGCTCGGGGTGCCCCCTGCAGCGGCTATCCCTGGGTGTGTGCCTGACTTCGGCTTGCTTGACAGTCCTGCCAACCGTTACAAAGATGGAGGCTGGTTCGCTGCCAACGTGCGGCGCCTGCAAGAACCTTCCCCACACGGTACAATCGGGAGATCCGAAAAGTGCAACGTAAACAAGGGTGGCGGCGGGCTCGTTCTGAAAATGCCGCTCTCGCCTGATACCGTTGCAAAACAATGACTACTGAAATTGTGCACTGTGTACGTGGATGGAAGGGAAATCCTTGTCAACACGGGACTACCGCTTGACATTTGAACTACTGTAGCATACTACATGTTCGCGATGCGTTGAAATAGAACGACGGAGGGTGGCTCTTTTCAAAGCAGGGGTCTCGCCTGAGTGGCGCGCAGACCAGACGCTCGTCATTCAAGGGGAGCACTCTTGGCAGTGGATAACTTACTTACACGGATGGCCAAGCAAGGGAAGATGGACGGGCGTGTTGCAGCATCGTTGACGCACCCTGTGGTTACACTCCTCCACCTTCTCCTCGATCACCCTGCAGCCACAACATCCTCGACATCCGCATGAGCATCACCACCATCACGATGGCCCTCAACATCATCATCACCATCGTCGTCATCGCTACCGTTGGCATATTGATCGTCATCGTTTCATCGTCACCGTGATCATCATTTAGCATGGGGGCAACGGGTCCCGAGGAAAACGGGTCCTGGAACCCGGTACCTTCCCCCGGGACAGGCTTTTCATCGCGAGTCGCTTTCCGGCAACCTCTGGGCCCGTGAAGGGCCCCAGAAGCCCGATAACGGCGAAAGCATCAATCTCCCCCATGGCGAATCCCCACCACCACCATCACCACCACCATCGCCGCCACCATCATCATCGGCATCATCATCATCATCATCATCATCATCATCATCATCATCATCATCATCATCATCATCAATATCATCAATATCATCATCATCATCATCATCATCATCAGCATCACCGTCATCATCAGCATCCTCATCAGCATCACCATCATCATCAGCATCACCGTCATCATCAGCATCACCAGCATCACCAGCATCATCAGCATCATCAGCATCACCATCACCATCAGCATCACCATCATCAGCATCACCGTCATCATCAGCATCACCAGCATCATCAGCATCATCAGCATCACCATCACCATCACCATCCCCCTCCTGCCGCGCGGGCGCCAACCCCTCCCCGTCATCGCCCCCCGGGAGGACGCCGGAGGGAAGGCAGGAGCGGCGAGGGGACGGCCGACGGGAGGGCCCCACGGAGCCGAAACCCCGAGACCCACGGCGGAGCGACCGCTCAGACGGAGAGGCGCCTCCTCTGAGGGGCCAGCCCAACACTTCCTCCCTCCTCCCTTCTCCCTTCTCTCCCTTCTCTCCTTCTCTCCCTTCTCCCTTCTCTCCTTCTCCCTTCTCTCCCTTCCTCCCTCCTCCCTTCTCCCTTACCTCCCTCACGGGGGCGCCCCTCTCCCTTCTCTCCTCGACGCGGGGCGGCGCGGCGCGGGAGCCGGCCCGTCGGGCACGCGGAGGCCCCCGCGGGGGGGGGGGGGGGGCGCCCACAGAGGAGCCCGCCATGGCTGTCGGCACCCCTGCTCGGGGCCCCGAGCCGAGGGTGGGAACTGGCAGGAAGGGGGAAACGTTGAACTGGAATCGGCGATACATCGCCGCTAAATCGGCGATGGTCCCACGATAGCAAGTCCACACGTTCCTGGGCGGGGCGGCGGGGCTATCGGGCCCCTCGCGGCGATGAATCGGCGATCGGGGGTCGATGCATCCCCCCCTATGCCTACCCCCCCCCTCATCGTTGCATCTGACAGGGGGTCCTAGCGCCGAATCAAGAGATCCGCACGGACCCCCGAGAGTGCGTACTGTGGGACGCATAAGGAAATACGAATACAATGTGCCTCTGTTGGAGGTGCATGCCCGACACGAACATGTAGTACGAAATCTTGTAGTATGCTGTTTTCAAAGCGGCATTGCCAGAAAGCACCCGCCACGGAGCTTCTACTAAAGATTTCCGAGCGTGCGCGTCTCCCTTGCGTGGCCGACGCACGTATAGTATAAGAAGTATGAGTGTAGTGCCAATACTAATGCATCTGTATCCCACTCAAATATCAAATCTTCGTCGTCGTCCGCCCACGGCTTTCGCGAGGCCGGACAGGGCGCTGCCCCTGCTGCCTGCCCTGCCCCCGCCCTCCCCGCCCAACCCGCCCACTGTTCCGCTCACAGGAGGCCCTGGAAAGTCAGATCCGTGGAGGGTGGAAAAGATGCCGATACCGCTACGTACGTGCTCCCAGGGCCTCTCCCGGAGAGCGTTCTGACTAGAATTTCAAGGAAGTCCTGCCGTGGCGACGGTGGGTCCCTAGGGCGAGCAGCGGTATCACTATCCTGCCCAGCTACGAATCAGATCTTCGAAGTTCGTAGTCCGCCTAGGGCCCGCGCGAGGCTGGACAGGGCGCCGCTGATCTCCGACCCGAGGTACTGCAAGTTCTCCTCCGAGAGGCCCACGTCTTGCAAGGAAGGCAGGAGGTCTGGGACCTCCTGGCCGCCGGCGCCCTCCCGGTCCGAGCAATGATCCTGGTCGTCCATCCGTCCGTTCCTTACGAGCAATTCCTGAAGACAGGGCCAAGACGTGGACATATTCGAGCGAGGAGAAATCGGAAACCTCTGAGATCCGGCGGCTCTGGAGGATGCATCGGGCGCCGCGGCCTTGTCAGAGCGTTCCGAAACGCTCTGAGAGCGTTCTGGAAGGCTCTAGAACGGATGCATCCTCGTCCTAGCCCCATCCAACTCCTCCCTCTGGCACGCCCAAGCGTGTCAGCAGGGCGGGCCGGGCGCTTCGCCTGAGAATTCCTAAGCATTTATGGCACTGGCCCCTGCAACATGCAACAAATGCAAGGTAGGGTGGGGCGGGTCAAAATGTGGTTATCACCGCAGCGCTCAGCACGTTTGTCCTAAAAGCTTGCAGCAATTTCACGGGCGCAAGGGGGTCGTTTCAACATGTTGCTATCGCTTCAGACAGAGCCGCGCGCATTCGTTTCAAAACTTTGCAACAGTTTGGCGAATGGAGGGGTAAGTCAAAATGTGGCTCTCACCTCAGCGTCGCGCACATTCACCAACAAGACTGCAACAAATTCACAGATCCACGGGGGTCGTTTTCAAAAAGGGTCTGTCGTCTTCGCGCCGCGCAGATTCGTCATAAAATTTGCGACCGCCTCTGAGATTGAGTGCGTCTCCTGTGTTAACCATGGGGGATTATCTTCTCAAAGCCTCGCGCGTTCGTGTTGCAAACAGTGCAACGACTTCACGGAAGGAACGAGGGCCGTGTTCAAAACTGTGTTCTCGCCTTAGCGCTGCGCGCATCTGACCTAAAAGTTTGCCACCGTTTTGAAAATTGCAGGCGGACCCTTTTCAAAGCGGAGTTTTCGATTGAGACCTCTTTAGATCTGGAGACAGCACCATCCAACAGACTCGACAACAGTACAAAGGAACGGCGTTCCTTATCGACATTGGGCGTTCACTTCAAAGTATGCAATACGTACAAACCCAGGAGCTTGAACAAATGGAACAACTGCATGGATGGAGGGCGGTCCCACTGTGAAATTGGGGTGTCGCTCGAGTTGTCCTCGATGTGCACGGGTATATGTGAAAACCGCTGCAAGAGTTGCACAGGCGGGGCGGTCCTTCCGAAACGGGGACGTCGCTGGACACCCCCCGGACCTGTATGAGCATACCTCTTGCGCGCTTCGTTTCTACTCCCTGGGGTGAGGTAAAGCAGATGACGTGCTCCCGCCAGAAGGGCAGGCCCAAAGGGTGCTCGAAGTTCAGCGCTTCTCGAAGTGGAAAGGGCGGCTCGCAGGGACTTCTGAGAAGGGGTCTCGGGACGATAGGCTAGTTTCAAGCATCGTTGACGCATCGTTGGGTTACTCTGGTCCTCGTCGTCCTCATCGTCCTCCTCCATCCTGTTTCTTATCAGCAGCTCCCCCCTGTCGCACCCCCAGACGATTCGGTAATTAGAGCGGGCCATGTGTTTCGCGAATGACTTCCTCGCCACGTATGACCCTGACGCGCAAACTTTGCCACAACTTCACGGGTGGAAGGCGGATGCTGGTCAAAATGTGGCCCTCGCCTTGGCGCAGCGCGCACTCGTCTTCAACCCATGCAGCAGCTTCAAGGATGGAAGGCGGTTGTCTACGAAATGTGGCAATCGCCTCAACGCCGCGCACATTCGTCTGAAAGTGTACAAGCGTTGTTTGATTGAAGGTGGTGTGCTTTTTCAAAATGTAACTCTCGCCTTAACCGCGCGCGCAGTCGACTTAACCTTATGACAAATTCAAAGATAGAAAGAGTGTCGTTTCCCAGGTGCACCTACCGTCGGGAACTTTTGATTAGCGTGTCGCGGTGGCAGCCCCGGCGACACGCTATGCCTTGCAAGCGGGTAGCGTGTTGTTCCGCTTCGCGGGGTGGGAGGCTGGGAAAAGCTCGGCACATGGACGACTGGGGGCCGCGAATTGGATAGGGTGTCGCGCCAAAGCATGGTGGGCAAGAACCGGTGGATCGACACGCTAAAATCCCGACCGTACCCCCTGAGCGCCAAGCACACTCGTCTTAAACAAGTTCCAACAGCTTCCAGGATGGAGGAGGGAAGTTAGAATTGCGGCCCTAGCCCTAGCGCCGAGAGCATTTGTTTTGGATGTGTCGCACTAGCATCAAGGATGGAGGGCGGTTCCTTTTCAAAGTGTGGTCCCAACCGTCACTGAAATCTAGGTTTCAGTGATGGATAATCAGACGTGAATATCCATCACCCAAATCTAGATTTAAGCGTTTTGACTTGGGCAAGTCTAAGAACTTCTTACGGATTCTACTTCAATATAATTGTACGTGACTCTAAATCCAGAATCCAGTTTCTTTCTGTATTTGTCAATAGTCACTTTCAAGAAGGAGCTCTCGCCCTAGCGCCGCGCATTCGATTTTTGAATGCAACGTTCAAGCCAAAGAGAACTGCTCTTTTTCAATATGGGGCTCTCGCTGGGAACTTTGCGAGATTGGAAACAGAAACAACGTCAACCCATGACCAGAAGTGCAAGCCTGGAAAACACTTACACGGATGGGGGGGGGGCCATGTTTCGAAAGGGGTATCACGCTGGAAAAAACGTAGAACTGTATGATCGAGCTGCTCTCGCATTCCTGATGACGCGCCAAAAGGATGCACGGCAATTCCGCTTCAAACTGGGACCCTCGCAAAAACGGCAGGCCCAACCGTGCTGGTCTTGCAAGGTGGGGGCATATTGCCGTGGAAAGGAAAACTTGAAGTAGGGACGCCTGGGGACGGGACTTGGAACGCGAAGGTGCATTACTCTGGTCTTTCTCATCCTCCTCGACCCTGCTCCTCTTGCCACTGCCTCCTCGCGAATCCTGCGCCTCACCCAGCTCCTTCCTCCTCCTGCTGCTGCTCCTCCTCCTCCTCGCAAAGAAGCCCCAGAAGGCCCCCACGAAGCACCCAAGACACCCAACAATTGTCCCTCAGAGGTTTCCGAGAAGCCTCCCAAGAGATCCCAACAATGATCCAAGAGGCTTCCGACCGTCAACCCAGTCTCACGGTGGCCGCTGTGCCGAAGGCCACTAGATACCATCTCGGATGAAGCCTGCTTGGGCTCAAGCTCGCTTGCCCCGCCCCCCGGCTCAAGCTGTGCTCACTTGGACGCCTTTGAGAACACGTGTTCACTTGTTTCTGGACGCTGGGGAATGAATAGCTTCGCTTGCCGGACTTAATGTGACCTACTCCGCAAATTCTGCCCCCGAGATCATTCACTTTCATAATCATACCGTTTGCCCGGAGGTGCTGAAGCTCGGGGAACCACTGTACAATGCGTCCTGGTATCGCCACGTTCTTCGGCATGCTGCTGTATTCCTTGCTATCGGCCTTTCCCCACATGGGGTGGCAGTGGCTAAAGTTTGTGTTCATGGATATGTGCATATTCGAGGCTACGTTCCTGGTCTTGTCATGGCCGTCCGCCAGTTCTTGACGTTTACGGCACGTGGGATTGCAGAGCGTGTTCTCTTGTCTACGAATACGGGGGCATACCTCACACATCATCTTCGCTGTTGCACGTTGCAATGCCATTCTTCATCATGGTGGCGTTGGGCGACGCCTTTAAATACTACGTGGCAATGTTAAAGAGTGTGCAGGCATGCGCAGTTTGTTCTCGTGGCGTCGGTGTTCAGTGCACCGTGCGCCGCCCCCACCCCCCCGCTGGCGGCCCTACCCCCGCCACCGATGGCCGCATCCACCCAACACCTCTGGCCTTCCTCGATCGCGACGCCAACGGCGCTGCGCCAGGCTGCGCAGCTCCAGTGCCGCACTCCCTGGCGGGCGGCATTGCGGCGCAGGGCGGGGCGTCGGTGGCGGACTTGACACCCGACGCCCTCGGCAAGCATTCCCCTGCCATGGCGGGTCCCGGGCCTGAGCCCCCGGCGCGCCCCTGTGCCGCTCTGGCAGCTCCCCGATGCGGGCCCCGAGTTTGGCACGCTGGTGGGTCAGTGTTGATGGCTTCGGGCGCAAACTCCTTGAGCTGCACGATCTCTCCGCCACTCTTCACACCGCCGCGGCGGGCCCCACTCGCACCGTCGACGGGCCCCCCAAATGCGCCGAGTCCGACCTTCATGCGACTGGTCGGAGCCTCGGGATCGAAGGCTGTCGATGCTTTTAGACATGGGCCTGGCGCCACCACCTGTCATCCACTTGTGAGGCTACCGAAGATCTTCTGGCATGCTAGCAGCAGAGGCCGCGCCCCCGCTCTTGGCCAGGCGTGCCAACGCCGCCTGTGACTCGGCAAGGGCGGCCGCCAGAAGGAGGAGGAAGACGAGGAGGAGGAGGAGGAGGAGGAGGAGGAGGACGAGGGGGAGGAGGAGGAGGAAGAGGAGAAACGGGGGCGAAGAGGAACGGGAAACGAAGGAGGACAAAGCTTCCTCTGCGGTGTGTGTGTGTGTGTGTGTGAGTGTGTGAGCGTGTGAGTGTGAGTGTGTGTGTGGTGTGTGTGGTGTGTGTGGTGTGTGTGTGTGGTGTGTGTGGTGTGTGTGTTGTGTGTTGTGTGTTGTGTGTTGTGTGTTGTGTGTTGTGTGTTGTGTGTTGTGTGTTGTGTGTTGTGTGTTGTGTGTTGTGTGTTGTGTGTTGTGTGTGTGTGTGTGCGCGTGCGTGTGCGTGCGCGTGTGCGGTGTGCGTGTGCGTGTGCGTTGTGCGTTGTGCGTGTGCGTGTGCGTGTGCGTGTGCGTGTGCGTTGTGCGTTGTGCGTTGTGCGTGTGCGCGTGCGTGTGCGCGTGGGTGTGTGTGTGGGTGTGTGTGCGCGTGCGTGTGCGTGCGCGTGTGCGGTGTGCGTGTGCGTGTGCGTTGTGCGTTGTGCGTGTGCGTGTGCGTGTGCGCGTGCGTGCGCGTGCGCGAGCGCGTGTGCGTGTGCGTGTGCGCGTGCGTGTGCGCGTGCGCGTGCGTCTGCGCGTGTGTGTGCGCGTGGCGGGTAGTGGATGTTGGCTGTTCGCGGTGGCTGTGTGCGTGTGCGTGTGCGTGTGCGTGTGCGTGTGCGTGTGCGTGTGCGTGTGCGTGTGCGTGTGCGTGTGCGTGTGCGTGTGCGGTGCGTGTGCGTGTGTGTGTGTGTGTGTGTGTGTGCACGGGGGGGGGTGGCGGGGTCGGGGTGGGTGGGTGGGGGGTGTGGGAGAGAACGGGCCCCACGGAAAGGGGAGGAGGAGCTGAAGGAGGAGGAGGAGGACACATAAGAAGGAGAGAAAGAAGAAAATGGCGAAGAGCACAGGGAAGAAGAAAAGGACGCCGCGGAGGAGGGCCCCCCCCCGCCTCCGCTTCCTGGCCGCCAGGTTCGGGGCGGTGCCCGTCCACAGCATCTGGGCGCGAATCGGCCGCCAGGTCAGGCCGCTCGTCGTGGGCCACCTGGGCGAAGGAGGGGGCCGACGGGGGGGGGGCCCGCAGGGCAGGATAGCAAAGGGTGGGGTAGAAACATCAGCTCACATAGCCAATGATCCTGGCGCCCCCTGGCACCGAGGGGCGCCCATGCACCGAGGAATGGGCTCGGTTGCGGGGCGGAAGCCAGCTGCGTGCAGCAGAATTCCCAACCCATACCCCGATCCCTATCCTACCCTTTCGTTCGGTCCGATAGGAGACGAACGACCACGGTCCGGATTTGCTTGCGATGATGACGAGGAGGAGGAGGCGGAGGAGGAGGAGGAGGAGGAGGCGGAGCGTGTTTACGAAATTCTCAAGCCCTTGCCGAGCCACTCTCCTCGCCCAAGCCGGAGCAAGCACTTCCTGAGTGAGGCAAATTGCGGCGGCGTGTCCTGTCAAAGGCGCCGCGTTTTCGGGAGCGGCCAAGAGGGGGGCGTCCAAGAGGGGGGGGCGCAAATCATGACCGGCGGCACGTGCGCGGCCCAGCGGGGGTGCCTGGGACGTAATGAAATAAGAAGAGGCGCCATGAAATCTGAGGAAAAATCATGGCCCGCGCCATGAAATCCACCCCCCTAGTCATCGCCCCCCTCTTTTCCGCTCCCGACGTTTTACCGTGCTGCTGGCCATCGTGAGGAATACCTTCCCGAAGTGCATTTCCATGCAATCCTTCCCGTCGAAGGCCAAAGACATGGAGTTGACCTCGTGGTGCTCATCGACTGGGTCAGGCTCCAGGCGTGGCTCGGGTAGGCAGGCCGTCGTCGCCGGGCCTGCTCCTCATCGGGCGCCTCCGTGGTCGCTGCGCTTCTGTCGCCTCTGGAGCCGGGCACCGTCTGCACGAGTGGGTGACCAGCGCCTTGATGCCCCATCGTTTTTTGCGACTTGCGCTTGCCATAGTGGTGGATGGCCTCTTTGCAGCGATTCCGGAGCTCATTCGCGTACTTCCTGCGCGTGGCCTTTCGCGGCGGCTCTGCCTGCCGGGGGTGCCCTACACCACGTGGCCCGTCGACGCGACGAACGCCCCCTCGAGAGGCACCTCCATGCTAGCTTTCTTGAGGAAGGCCAAGTCCTTGCAGCGGTCGAATGTTAGGTCGTTTGTTGACGTCTCAGCACCTGCCAGCCCTAGGTGATGGCGCTAGATCAGGGGGGAAAGTGGCGGGAAAGGTGCGACTGCGATGCCGCTGGGACAAATCCTACAGGAGCCACCGCGCAGCTCGAGCTACTTGTCCTCTGCCGACTGTGCTCGACTGCGTAGGTGGTGCATTGTGCGGCGAGGCTCTGGCGAGCTGGCGGCTGTTCCTCCTGAGCGGGCAGGGTGCGCTTCCACCTCGCGTATCAAAGGCTTCGCCAGTGCTGAACTTGCTGAAATTGTCGGGCTTGTTGGCCGTTGCGCAGAGCTGGTGGCTTGCCCTCCTTGCCAAGCAGGGAGATCTTCCATCGTCCGCGTTGTCGACCTCGCCGGTTCGATACTTGTCGTTGGCTAGAGTGTCGACTCTGCTGCGGCAGCTGCTAGACTCTCCTCCTTCTCCACTTTTGCTGCCAATGTCACCTCCTCATGTTCCTTCCGCCCCGCTTTTTGATCAGTGGTTCCTTGTCCTGCGCCGCGTCGATCGTAGACCTCGCCGATGACGGGGGCCTCCCTCGTAGCGGCTGCTGGCCCCATTCAACATGGAGGCGTAGCGGGCGCCGTCGGTTGCGCCGTTGATGCTGAGCTCGGCCTGCCCTGGGTCGGTCTCGCTGGCAGTGCCAGTGCCATTTTTCAGGTGGGGGCTTCATCTGCCTCGCTGGGCTGGAGGCCTCCCCTGCCCCTTTGCTTCCCTCCGAATGGCCATGTCTGTTCTGGGCTGAGAGATGCCGGTTGCCTCTCAACCCTGTGCCCTTAGCGGCGAGGCCGAGTCCACCGTGAAGATGGCGACTCCTGGCATGGCTGAAGTGGGTGACGCGAGGACGGCTGACCTTCTGCACGGGGTTGGCGTCATTGTCGGCCTTGGCGAGGCAGGTGGCGGCGGTGGCGCGCTCGTGCCTTATGCAAGTGGCGCGGGTGGATATTTCCCTGAAGGTGTCTGCGGTGCTGCTCTGCGCGTTGGCGTTGTAGATCTATCAATACTGGTGGCGCCCGCACGGTGTTCTGGATCTGCTCTTGTAAGCTCGTGACCACCACCGCCATCAGGCTCATCATGGCTCGCATAGGCTGCATAAGGGCGGCCAGCATGTGCGCCACCACCGCTTCCAGAGGAGAGCCCTGTGGTGTCGGCGGCCGTTGCGCACGCCAGCAGCCTGCTCGGCACGCGGCGACGATGCCAACGAGAACTGTCGGTAGCCTGCTGCGTGGACCTGGGCGAAGTGAGAGGGCGATGTCGCACGGTTCCTCCTTGACGGCCACGTCCTCGTCGGCGGCCACCGCCGGCGCGGTGAGCGCGATCCCGCCACCTCTGGTTTGGCCGTAGAGCATGCTCAGCGATTTTTGCCCGTGACGTAATGTTCCTTGAACTTGTCGGTGTTGCTCTTCCGCGCTTCTGCCCTTGCCTTTAGCTTCCTGTCCCCACGGTCGCAATACCTCATCTGCTGGTCGTACGGCTCGACTGCCTGCAGCGTGATTCGTCGTCTAAAGTTTGCATGCGATCTCACTGGTGTCCTCCTTCATTTGGCTGGATCTGGCTGGGGCTGCCAGAATCCTGATGTCCTCCGCGATCTTCTTCACACGACGCTCGGCTCTGCCACGGCCATCCCCTCGATGGTAGGATATCATTATGCTGTTGCTCGGCGGCTCTATTGGACGTCGCAGAACTGCTGCCCTCGCCGTTCTTGTTATTGCATTTGCCGTTGCTTTTGTCCGGTTGCGTGGGCTGGCGATGGCTTGCCTTGCGCTGCGAACCGCAGCTGGGGCGGTGCGCGTGCTGCATGTCGAACTTGACGCCGCAGCCGCATGCCAAGTTTGCCAAAGACTAACGGCGCTCCGCCAGCAACTGCGCCGCGCTGCTGACCCTGAGCTTGCCCTCGCCTCTGTTCGTCGTTGTCGCTGGCGTCGGTGCCAAGCTGGCTCGGCCCAGCAAGCCGCGGCGCTACCTGCGGCACCCGCACGATGCGGGGGAAGAAGGAACGAAAACGAAGGCCTCCCCGCTGCGAAGGCCGCTAGCGCGGCCGCAGTGCCGCAACCCGCAGCAAGGGACACGGAGGCGCCGATGGCCCCCTGCCGCGAGTATCGCGTGGCCACGCGGCGCGCGTGCGTAAGCCCGGCCTCCTGGGCGACCGATCGCGATCGATCGCACAAGAGAGCGCGTTTCACGGACGCTTGCCTTGGGAATCTTCGGCGGCGTGTTTCCAACCGGGGGGTGGGCCCCCCCCCAACACTCGGCGCCGTCAATCAGAATCAGGGGGGCCCTAATCCCCCGCTTCCACGGGGGGGGTCCAAAAACCCCACCACCCCACCCCACGTCCACGGCGCCGGCGCCGGCGCTGGCTGCTGGCGGCCACCAACAGCGCCGACGGCGGGGACGCAGCGACGATGACCAGAGAGGGCCAAGGGGGAGAGGGGCGGGGGGGTTCAAGCCCCCCCCCCTCGCGCCGGCGCCAGCGCTGGCGTTGGCGGCGGCCAGCAGCGCCGACGGCAGGGACGCAGCGACGATGTCCAGAGGAGCCCAGAGGCCGCTAGGCGAATACCCAAATCGCCATATCGAGCCCTCGCCCCCCAGAAGCCACCGAGAGGTCCTTGGGAAGTTGCACGAGGCTTCACACATGATCCTCAGACGCCCCCGAGACCCTTCTGACGAGACCTCAAAAGGCATCCATGAGAACTCTGACCCAAAGCCAAAACACGGTGGCGGGAAGAGCCGAAGGCAACACCACCACCACAACCACGACCACAAACCACCACACCACCACCACCAACCCCGGCACCACCACCACCACAATCAACACAGCCCACCACCACTAAAACCACTACAACCACCACGATCACCAGAAACCACTACACCACCACCACCACCAAAAACGCCACCGCCACCAGCGCCACCACAACCCACCACAACCCACCACGACCACCACCACAACCACCACAAACCACCACACCATTACCACCACCATCATCAAGATCACCACCACCACAAAAATCAACGCAACCCACCACCACCACAAACCATCATACCACTACCACCACAAACACCACCACTGCCACCACCACCACCACCGACCACCCACCACCCACCACCACCAACAGCACCGCTACCAGCAGCACCAGCACCATCACCAACACCATAGCCCACCACCACCACCACAAACAACCACACCACCACCACCACCACCGCTACAACCACCACCACCACCACCATACCACAACACAACCACCACCACAGCCACCACCACACCACCACCACCACCACCAGCACCACCTCCACAAACCACCATGACCACCACCGCCACCACCAACAACACTACAAACCACCACCACCACCACCACACCACCACCACCACCACAACCCACCACCACCACCACCACCACAACCCACCACCACCACCACAAACCACCACAACCACCACCACCACCAAACCGCGGCCACCACCACCACAACCACCACAAACCCCCACCACAACCACAACCACCGCCACCACCACCACCAGAACCAACACCACCACAACCACCACCACAACAAACCACCACCACCAACACCACCACAATTACAACCACCGCCACCATCACCACCACAACCCACCACCACCGCAACCACGACCGCCACCACAACCACCACGACAAACCACCACCGCCACCACCACCACCACCACCTCAACCCACCGCCACCACAACCACCAACATCACCACCAGAAACCACCACCACTACTGCCACCACCACCACCACCACCGCCACCACTACCACCACAATCTGCCACCACAACCACCACAACAACCACCACCACTACCAACAACCACCACACCACTACCACCACCACAGACCACCACCACCACCACCACCACCACCTCAGAAGGGCCCCCAGAGACGCCCAAGAGGCGCCCTGGTGTCACGAATGCCCTTCAGAGGGCCCCGAGAGCCCTCCGACGAGACCCCGCGAGGCATCCAGTAGGTTTC